TGTGAACCATTCAGTTATAGGTTGTGACAACAGTATTTTTCTTAATGGAACTGACAAAGAAGAAATAATGAATGTAGTAAAAAAAAATCTTACAGATAAGAGATCAAAAGACTGGGTGGACATGGATATGATGTTTGTAAAGGACATAATGAGTTATGTTATCGAGCCATTTACATATATATGTAATTTATCATATTCAAAAGGCATATTTCCAGATAATATGAAAGTAGCTAAGGTAGTTCCTCTCTTTAAAAATGGTGATAAATGTGTGTTCAATAATTATAGACCAATATCCTTATTACCACAGTTCTCAAAAATTCTAGAAAAAGTGACCAGACTAGATAAATTTATTACTAAACAAAACATTCTAAGTCGCAGTCAGTATGGGTTTAGAGCAAAAAACTCTACATCAATGGCTCTCATGGAATTAATAGAACAAATAACTACTGCTGTCGATCAAAAACAATATTGTGTTAGTATTTTTGTTGATTTAAAAAAAGAATTCAATACTATTGATCACACTGTTCTCCTTGAAAAATTAAATAAATATGGTATAAGAGGACCAGCATTACACTGGGTATCTAGCTATTTGAATGATAGGAAACAGTTTGTACAAATAAATGGTGTAAGATCTGACCTCTGCAATATCACGTGTGGAGTTCCTCAAGGCTCTGTACTTGGACCAAAGTTATTTAGTTATATGTGAATGACTTAGTGAATGTATCAGGACTCCTCAAATGTGTCCTGTTTGCAGATGACACCACATTTTTTCATTTGGGTAAAGATGTAAAACGGATGTTGGAATTGATGAAGACAGAATTTGATCAAATACAAACTTGGTTTAAACTTAATAAATTATCATTAAATTTAGATAAAACTAAATACATGATATTTAATAACAAAAAGAGAACTGTTGATGATCCATTTAAAATTGAAGGTGTTGAGATTTGTAGAGTTAATGAGATGAAATTTTTGGGTGTAATCATTGATGAACAGCTAACATGAAAAAATCACATACATTCTGTAAGAATAAAAATAGCTAACTCTATTGCAGTACTATACATACTCAGGGACTTATTATATTATAAAGCTCTGTACATGTTGTATAACACAATCATTGTTCCACATTTAATCTATTGCATTGATGTTTGGGGGAAAGCGTGTAAAACATTTACAAAACCTATCTTTATTTTACAGAAAAGAGCTGTAAGAATCATCACTAGAAAGCATTACAGTCACCCATCAAACACATTATTTTATCAACTGAAGTTATTGAAGTTCCATGATTTGGTAGATTATAGTATTTTATCAGTTATGTATAGGGCTCAAAATAACACATTACCATTAAATATCCAAATAAATTTTGTTAAAAGACAAAGTTATTATAATCTTACGGGGATAGAGATAGTTGTCAAACCAAAATTCAGAACTAGTCTAAAGGGAAGGTCTACCTCAATCCAAAGAATTGGATTGTGGAATGGTCTAGAAAGTGATGTTAAAAATGCCAAGTCAATGTGTATATTTAAGAAAAAGATCAAAGCTGGTTAGTTAAAAAAAATTATATGAAGTAGCTTAGTGTGTTTTTTATATTAGAATTAGAAAAATTAGAAAGAGTTATTCATTTTGTTATGTTACTTGAAAATTATGATTGAAATAATTGTTTGAAAAATGGGGCAGATATAATAAGATCTTTTCTTCTTTCTGCTGCCTTTCATTTTAAATCTCTTGTATCTTTTTATATTGTTATGGAATTGTTTTGTACTTTTTTTAATGAATAAACTTTATACCATTTACCATATTTTGCTAACACACAAATAAGGTTTACTTCAACAGTGAATGCTAACACTTTTAACCAATTATCCTGTGCATTGAGTTGCACTTATTGTTTAACTTGTAAATGCCTCTCAGCTACAATCATACCAAATATTAGCACAATATCAGTATAATATTACTTCATTGAAGACATTTTGTGTTTTCTACAGTCAGTTAGCTGTGGCAGCCATCTTGAACTGGGTTGGCTCCAACAGGTAATCATTTGTAGTGGTGCATTCATTGATCACTTTCTGAAGGTTTCATTAACATGTTTCATGTGATTTATAGAATATTATGCTCACAGACAGGCAGAGTTGACTCCAGTAACCTAAATGGTAAACTTTTCAAAGATCATTTACAATCTGTGAGCACAATATGCATTGAGAATTCACCTCAGCTATCATCTCACCAAAATCTAGCTCAACATCTGTCAATTTGACCAAGTTATAGCCATCCATCCATCCATCCATCCATTACATTTACCCGCTTGTTCCATTTTGGGTCACGGGGGTCGCCGGTGCCCATGTCCAGCAATCACTGTGCGAGGGGCGGGGTACACCCTGGACAGGTCGCAAGTCCATCACAGGGCCACATAGAGACAAACGAGACAAACAACCATTCACTTTCTCACTCACACCTATGGACAATTTAGAGTTACCAATCAGCCTAACATGCATGTTTTTGGTCTGTGGGAGGAAACCGGAGTACCCGGAGAAAACCCATGCATGCACGGAGAGAACATGCAAACTCCACCCAGAAAGGCCCCTGGACTGGGGTTTGAACCAGGGACCTGCTCGCTGAGAGGCAGCAGCTCTACCAGTTGCGCCACCGTGCTGCCCAAGTTATAGCCATTTTTTAATTTATTTATTTATTTTTTGCATTTTTATTTGACTGTAGCAGCCATCTTGAATCAGGGTGACTCTAAACAGTAATCGATTTTGTCCAGTGCTGAATGGGATATTTTTCTAACAGAAACACAAACGCACATGCACACTGACAAAGGCAAAAACACAATAATCCGCCTCTGCCACAAATACTGTTTTTGCCAAGCCTCTGTGAATAACATTAAACACCAGATTTTCTGTCAGAGAGCGTCTCAAATCATCCATCCATCCATCCATTTTCTTTACCCGCTTATTCCATTTTGGGTCACGGGGGTCGCTGGTGCCCATGTCCAGCAATCACTGTGCGAGGGGCGGGGTACACCCTGGACGGGTCGCAAGTCCATCACAGGGCCACATAGAGACAAACGAGACAAACAACCATTCACTCTCTCACTCACACCTAGGGACAATTTAGAGTTACCAATCAGCCTAACATGCATGTTTTTGGACTGTGGGAGGAAACCGGAGTACCCGGAGAAAACCCACGCATGCACGGAGAGAACATGCAAACTCCACCCAGAAAGGCCCCTGGACCGGGGTTTGAACCAGGGACCTGCTCGCTGAGAGGCAGCAGCTCTACCAGTTGCGCCACCGTGCTGCCCGTCTCAAATCAGTGTTAATGAAAAATACAAACAATCGTTTACCGACTACAATTCTGAAAATTCCGTTTGTTCCAGATCATATAATGGGTGTGATGTTGTATTTTCTGATAAGCTTCCTGCATTTGTCTCCTAAAAAAAGCTGTTCTGCTACAGATACAATCTGCCTTTTCATTTTCACACAAATGATCTGGGATCAGATAGAAATGTGTCACTTTTCACGCTGCACACAAACATTTAATGTGTAAATGCCACCAAGAGAAAGAGGTCGGGGGAAACTGCCGTTAGTCTGCATATTGCTATCAGTCTGCAAACTGGTTTTAGTCATGTCATCAATCATTTTATCAGCATTGTAACCTCAAATTCTAATTAAAATTATTTTCATCCATCCATCTTTTATTTGTAGTTGGGCCATGGAGGCAACAAGTCAAGAAGGTAAGCAACACTTCCCAGCTCCTTGTGGTGAACTCCAAGGCTTTCCCAGGTCAGAGAGGCTACATAACCCCTCCAGTGACTTCTGGGTCTGCCCTGGAGAAGTGTCCAAAGAAAGGCATCAAGGAAACATTGTAATCACATGCCTGAACCACCCTGTCTTCTTTCAAAGCAGAGAACCAGCAGCTCTTTTTGATGATGGAGCTCCTCACCTTATCTCTAAGGCTGAGCCCTACACCTTACAAAGGAGGCTCATTTCAGGATCTCATTCTCTGAGTCACACCTCAGGACCAGAGGTGAAGGTTTGAACGTAGACAGACCAGTAAATTGTGAGCTTTGCCTTTCAACTCAACTCATTCTTCACCAAGACCAACGAAGCAACGCTCTCATTACTGTGAATGAGACCCTGATCCACTGATCCATCTCTCACTTCATTCTACCAATCCTGGTGAATAAAACACCCAGATACATAAATATCTCCGCCTGAGGCAAACACTTATTCATGACCATGAGGGAGCGTTCCATCCGTTTCTGGTTGAGAACCATAAATAAAAGATAAGTAAATGTTTTTCAGAATCTTTATTGGAATTAGGGTGTAGATAGGTACACACAAACACATGAAACAAAATGTTTTAGCAGAGATGCTCCATTTAAAATGTACCTAAAGAGCTTGTAACACATGCCAAAACAATGGAGACAAGTCTGCAGCAGATGTGCACATCAGCCCTCATGAATAAGTCCATCATCTTGTTCAGTATGTTGAAACTTAGCAGATTAACACAGATCCCTGCAGCTTTGGTACAACTGCTGTACACTTTTAATCATTAATGATTGAGGTATAAAACATACAACTGAGGCATAAAACATACACTCCTCTGAGGTTTTTTTTTTTTTTGCCTTTTTTTATAGGTCTGAGGTCAGAACATGAAGTGACATTAACCTGCCTCAAAACAATATATTAAAAGTATAGCTTTTAAACTGGGGACTCAATGTAAATTTATATATTTTTATTCCTATTCCTCTGGGGCTCACAAAATTCATTATAGGAGTAGAGATGGCTTAGTGCTTAAACTTTATCTGACCAACCATCTATGACCAAACACAGGGTGAACGGAAGCAAAACACAATCATGTTAATAATGATATTTACATACATAATGGTATTTACATACAAGAAAATCAATTATTCATCTTCCAGGGAACAAATGCAGCTTTACAAAGCTTCCAATGACAGCTGCTGTCAGACGCACAGTCATCTGTGGAGCGTTACTTACCTGCTTCTTTGTGGTCAGGATCCTGGCTGGTCAGCGCAAAGAGGAAATCCTGACAGGTGTCCTGATCCAACAGGGTGCTGTTGTGCAGGCAGAGGTCAACAATTAGAGTCACAGCTTTCTGACAGACCATGTCATTCTCCTCTTGGTCAGAACTCATGCTCTCAGCTGCATCATGAGTTGTGTGTGCCCATTCAAGGGGACTACTGCACTCACCCACATACACATGCGTGCGCAGCGGCACAGCTTGAAAATGATAAATGCAACTTGTCTCTGTCCACGACTTCTCCTTCATCCACACACTTTCATCAGTGTGTGCACAGATACACTCATGAGTGCATGTGAGGAAGTGTGCTAATGCCACTGTTGTATGAGCGTGTGTGTGTGCTCCTTTAGATATAAGTGTGTGTGTTGGTGTGCAACAGTGTTTCTAGATGTGGATCGCATTCATCCCTTGGTGATATCAGAGCAGAATCATTGCATCATATGTAAATAAGTCAGATGAATCATAATTAACCAAGTGCTAAATGTGATACACTCCCAAATGTCACGTTTTTCACTCAGACCTGCCTGGGCCATAAACCTTTAAAAAAAAGAAAAAGTTGTTCATATTGTCCACCAGACTTGTTTTTCTCAAGTCGAGGAGGTCTCTTTTCTCAAAGTCTCTGGAGTTCAGAGTGTCCCGTGTGATACGTCTCCCCTGAGCTGAATCACCTGTGGCTGCCAGGTCTCCCTGCTCCCAAAAGCCGTGCTTCAGCTGAGACCTCTGTTTGCACCCCATTGTGATGGCTGTGCACCTGTTTATGTGAGAAAGATGATGACAACAGCTGAACGTAACGTTGCAGTGTGTTCAAATGATCCCTCAGAGATGCTGAGGCACACTGGTCCAGTGTTTTGTGGATAAGCAAAAGTTTTTTTTAATCACTTTAGCCTTGTCTCTACACAGAAATAGCATTTTAAGAAACCCTAAATATATATTTTTTGCAAACCTGGTTCCAGAGTGAAAAATGTTTGTTTTACAATGTATTTACTGGGAAAAAGATAATTTCATGAAAACAATGTACCCATGTGGAAATGGTCATAGCCTTAGCTTCCAGTTTTGAGCATCCATCACCAAATGTGAAAACAAAGAGTTAATGTTGTTGCCCGTGGTATGTTGGTTTGCCTGTACCTTCACTAGCTCATGGATCACTAAACAGAATTTAAGGAAATTCTCAGCAATGACACCTCAGGAGCTTTGCATTGTTCTGTTCACAGTTTTTATCAATTTTCATTCCCTGCAGCTTTGGAATAAAACATGAAGAAATCCAGCAAAAAAAAAAAAAAAAAAAAAGAAAAATTACAATAAAAGAAAAGAAAATATGAGAAAGAAAACAAGGAGATAAAAGAATTTGGGCAAAAACGTGACAACTCAGCCCTCTTTGGAGATCTATAGCTCAAGCAACTTCAAAGTCCACTTACTTTTTTCTGGGTTGCATGGAGTTGATGTCTATCTCCAGCAGTCATTGTGTGAGACGCAGGGGACACCCTGGACCAGTGTCACATCACAGAGACACATAGAGACAAACGAGATAAACAAGGCATTCACAAACTCACTCACATCTAGAGACAATTTACAGTTACCAATCAGCCTAACATGCATGTTCTGGGTTTGTGAGAGGAAACCGGAGAACACGCTGGAGACACATATGCACAAGGAGAACATGTAAACTCACCCCAGAAATATCCTAAGCTGAGAGACGACAGCTCTAATCACTGTACCACCATATCCTGATGCATGCTCAATATTACAGGTAGAAAAATCTAAAAAAGTTAAATCTGGTCTTGTTATTGGAATAGTGATGGTGTTGATGAGCTATTAGTACGTTAAACTTGTTTTGTTGTCGAGTCTTGGACTTGACATGCTGTGCTAAGCGTGCCTGATCTGTACAGTCCATCACTTGCTGAAGTGTGGTCTGATCTAGGCATGTTGTTAGTTTTTGTTTAATGCACTCTTCATTGGCCTTCAAGGCCTAAATAGTAAAATTGGTCTGTCTCACCCGTTCATTCAGCAGCTGGGTTTGTGCCTTCTGAAGGATCTTGCTTGCCCGATGCCCGCTGACCAAAGATTTTAGTTCCAGGCTCTTGGGAATGATGCCACTTTGTCGACATCTGAGGTTGAATCGCAAATGGTTCCTGTAGTCTGCCCTCTTCCTTGCTGTTTTCTCAAACTCTCTAACTAGTTTGAGGCAATCCTGGCCAAAGTGGTTCAAAATATCCTAATGCATGCTCAATAATCCAGGTAGAAAAATCTAAAAAAGTTAAATCTGGTCCTCTGGACATTCAAAAAAAACAAAAAAAACAAAGCAAAACAACAAAAAAATGTAGAAACGTTTCGTCTCTCATCCGAGAGACTTCCTCAGTCTGAGGTGCTGTATTCAGCTCAGTCTCTTAAATAGTACCTTCTCAGAGTGGATCAACCAGTTTTGCTGCTGACAACCAAAACCAGCTGATCACATGCTCAAGAAGGACCATCAGCCTAACAATGGATCATTAGCACACTGATGGCTGTTTACTGTTCACATAGGGCTGAGTGATACTAGCAATCACAGCATTGTAAGAGGGGGACAGTTGAACCCGGAGGCTTCCACCCCTGTTTAACGATGGACAATTTATTTTCACAAAGATGTCCTCCTTTACTCCTCTCTCAAACCATCATTCCTCTCTGTCCAGGATGTGAACATCTTCATCCCTGAAAGAGTGACCGCTGGCCTGGAGATGAGTGTAGACCGCAGAGTCCTGGCCTGATGATGTTGATCTTCTGTGCTGGGCCATCCTTTTGGCCAGTGGCTGTTTTGTTTCCCCGATGTAAGACTGATCACAGCCCTCCTGACACTGAACAGCATACACAACATTGCTCTGTTTGTGCCGGGGGACTGGATCTTTGGGATGAACCAGTCTTTGCCGTAATGTATTTTGGGGTTTAAAAGCCACTGGGACGTTATGTTTAGAAAATAAACGTCTCAGTTTCTCTGATACTCCCTCAACATATGGAATGACCACTGGTCTGGGTCTGGGTTCCTCCTTTTCACCTGTTGGCTGACTGGAGTCCTGTTTGGGTTTCTTCTCTGCTTTCAGGAAGGCCCAGTTAGGATATCCACATTGCTCTAGAGCCTGTCTTGTGTGGGATTTCTCCTTCTGCCTGGCTCCTGAGCTAGTGGGGATGCTGTCTGCTCTGTGATACAGAGTCCTGATGACTCCTAACTTGTGCTCCAAAGGGTGATAGGAGTCAAACTGCAAATACTGGTCTGTGTGGGTGGGTTTGCGGTACACCTCAGTTTGCAAATGTCCTCTATCAGAGACTGAGACCTCACAGTCCAAGAAAGCCAACCTGCCATTTTTTACATCTTCTCGTGTGAACTTGATGTATTTATCCACAGAGTTGATGTGGTCAGTAAAATGTTGGACTTCCTGAGATTTAATTTTAACCCAGGTGTCGTCAACATACCTGAACCAATGACTTGGTGGTGTCCCTGAAAAGGACGTCAAGGCTCTCTTTTCTACCTCCTCCATGTACAGGTTGGCAACAATAGGAGAAACTGGAGACCCCATAGCACACCCATGTTTCTATAATATTGCTCCCCATATGTGAAGTAGGTTGACTGCAGGCACAGTTTCAAGAGTTGACACAGTTGTTCTGTGGAAAGCGTGGTCCTGCTGCTCAGAGTGGTGTCTGATTTTAATTTTAAACTGACCACCTCTACTGCATCATCAACAGGAATGCACGTAAAGAGTGATGTGACATCAAAAGAGACCGTTGTTTCATCAGTCTCCATGATGACATCCCTCACCTTATCCACAAAGTCCATGGTGTTCTGTATGTGGTGTTCTGAGCTGCCAACTAAAGGGATGAGTACAGACGCCAGATATTTGGAAACATTGTAAGTGACAGAGTTAATCATGCTAACGATTGGTCTTAAAGGTACACCTTGTTTGTGGATTTTAGGTAAACCATACAGACTAGGTGTGGCCTCCCCTGGGTACAGTCTGTGGTACAGAAAACGGTCAATAACCTTGTCCTGCTCCAAAATTTTCAGGCAATCTATCAACTTCTTCTTGTAACCACTTCCTGGATCTCTTTTCAGAGGTTCATAAGTGTTTAAGTCACTAAGGAGTGTCATAACTTTCTCATGATAGTCTTTCTGGTTCAAAATCACTGTGCACCTTCCTTTGTCTGCTGGGAGAATGATGATGTTTTTGTCCTTGCTAAGAGTGGTGAGTGCGTCCCTCTTCTCTCTACTGATGTTGGAAGGTGGTGGTTTGGCATTGCTGAGGTAGGCTGAAACTTTGATTCTGAGCTGTTCTGCTTCAGCCTCTTTTGTTGTTTCGGATGTCTGACTCAGTAGCTGTGATCATCTCCACCAGAGGAATTCTACTTGGTGCAACCGCAAAGTTCAGTCCCCTGGCAAGAATCTCTGTCTCTGGCTGGGTGAGCTGTCTGTCAACTACATTTTTTTGTTGTTTTGCTTTGTTTTTTTTTGTTTGTTTTTTTAATGTCCTGAGGACCAGATTTAACTTTTTTAGACTGTACCACAATGTTACTGCTTTAGTACATAATTTAAAGTTTAATCAAAATATGTGGAAGTGTAAACTTCCAATGGTCCTGATGTACAGTAGTTCCTCATTTATTGGGACGGTAATGTTCCAGACTCCCCCACCACCACAACCACCATTACCACCCCGTAATCAGAGAAAAACCTCCAAGTAGGAACGTTATTTTTATTTCAGTATTTATAAATATTTTAAGACTTTATAAACTCTTCCCACACTCTTGCAATGTTCTAAACTTTTAAACCTACATACATATGTAGATGCACTTTTTTGTTTTCATTCAACCTTTATTTAGACAGGTTAATCCAATTGAGACTCGGGGACTCATTTACAAGAGAGATCTGATAACTGTATAGTACTGCAAAATTTTATATGTGTACTCACCAGCCTTGGTCCAGTTCTGGTCAGGTTCTGATCGGCTCTCTGCAGCCCTTGAGCAGCAGATGCTTTTGGAGAGAGCCGGACCTTCAGAGAGACAGCACAAAACCACACAATGGTCCCAATCAAGTCCAAATAATCCAGAGGGATCCACATGGAAAAAATCCGGGTGAGCTCCGAAGAAGACACCGG